AGGCAAACAAACTACTGATGCCAGTTGACATGCGACTGGGCAAATGCTGGTTGTTTAGAAAGCACCTAGTCTCACTTTAAAGACAGCAGGTATTATGGATGTCACTTGCTCCTTTAGGCTACTATGACCGAAGTTTATTGCAAACTATTTCCTAAAAACTTAATACATTTCCAAGGCCTTTCATGCCCGGTTAGAACTGCTCTTGGCCCTTCCAGCCTCCAGCATTGCCCTGCCTTTTCTGCAAGGATGAAGGGCTGAGATGAGTTGGGAGTTGCCTGTGGTCCCCAGGAAAAAAGCATAGCTTGTCCCTCATAGGTCACACAAGTATCTCTGCCAGGGTGTCTCCTGGAGGAGCTGCAAATGCTGCATTTTGAGGACCAAGGATACAAACCAAAGAAGTAAAACTGGTAGGTCTCCACTCATGAGCTTGAAGTGAAGCCCTCAGTAGCTTCCTTGGATTCAGGACAGCTCAGCACCTTGCCAACTGCTGACCTCAGCCCTGCCTCTGGGTATGAACACTGGGCATAGGGAAAGCTTGGCTTCAACAAGACCTGGCCATGGTGGACTTGTAGCATCACTGCTTTGGGGACAGGAGTGAGGCGAGCTTTGCAGGCAGGAAGAATATCTCTGTGTGCGTGGTCTCATCTCTACTGGCCTTGCCTCCCTAAGCAAGGCCCACAGCTGCACAGAAGAGAGTAGCAGCTTGGTGCTGCCATTTGTCTTTCAACAGGTGGTGGAACATCAAGGTGCAGAAACTGAATCTCTCAGCCCCTCTCATTCTCCTCCCAGAAGTCAGCTGTCAAAAGGCAATTGAGATCCTCCAGGAGAAAGGATACGACCAGGCTCCTGTTGTTGCTGAATCGGGGTAACTATTTTTACTCGTTAGAGAGATGGCCATTCACATGGGAAAAGCAGCCATGATGAAGCTGAAGAGAAAGTCCAGTTTACTTATCCAGTGACAGGGCACTTGTACTGGATTCTGTGATGCAAATTTTTAAAATATCATCTGCCTCTTTGTGAAGATTCATCAAGAAATCTCCCTGTAAATGAGCTAGTTAAGGTCAAAGCCAAATCCAGTGCCTACCAGACAGAGGTTGGATCAATGCACGGGCAAGGGGAGGCCAGACGAGAGGTGAGGGCAGAGAGATAAGCAACTGGAGAGCCCGTAAGTTTTCCTTCTCCCAGCTGCTAAGTCCTGGACCAAAATAGCAGACTTTACTGTTAAACTAATAGCTTTGTAAGGACAAGGATCTTCTTGTCCTGCTCAGATGAGAAGGCTGGTGCCTCCTGCTGACAGCAGCAGCAATTTAGTCGCTGACTTGAAGGGCAGCAGCTCAGCCCCTACACTAAACATGTGCGTTACCTCAGGTCTGACCTTTTGGAAAACTCCCTGTTCCCCTGCAGGCTTATTTTGGGAATGGTGACCCTCAGCAACACCCTCACCTCGGTGCTGGCTGGAAACACACAGTTCTCAGACCCTGTTACGAAGGTCATCTATGACCAGTTCTCAAAGGTACCACTGTGGCTGGTGTCAACTGCTATCTGGGGATGGGGAGCAGGGGAGAGGTGTACCACCACCTTGAGGTGTGAGAGGAGCTGAGACAAGAGGACAATGAAAAGCCAGAGAGGTGAAGGGGGAGAGAAGTGAGGAGGGCACTGGGGATGTTGTGGAGATGAGATTAAGGACAGGCAGCTGCAAAAATGCTTCTGAGCCTGTGGGGTTCAGACATGGGACCTTTCATGCCAGGAGCAAAGCGCGTGAATGTCCACCCCTATTCTGACATTGTCAGAGGATTTTGTCCAGCCAGGGGACCGGCACCCTCTGAAAGAAGAGCCCAGCCATTGCCAGGGCTCGGCAGGGCTGGGACAATAGGGATGTCCATACAACAGGGCTCTGACAGGACACAGGGCAGGTCCTGTGCGTGTGCAGGGGAGGAACACTTGTGTCAGATGGCCGTCAGCAGTTCAGAGCTGGAGTGAGGTAAATGGATGGTGGTTTAGAGGAGCTGGAGCTGTCACCCCCATACTTGCCCACAGAGGCCCTTTGGGCTTGGGGGGAGACAGCACTGTAGTTCAGCTACATCAAAGCCAGGTTTGGCCAAATTGCCTACAGCCCCTCCCATCTCCCCAAAACAGTGCGGGCCGATGAGGCGTACCTGATCCTGGTCCAGTGGGGTGCCACCCTGCCCACTCACGGCCATAGTCAGAGGCAGGACTCAGGCCCCCCACCGCTGTCCTTTAAAATGTGGTGACACATAAAATGTCTCTTTTTGTCCTGTTTAGATTGGCCTGGAGGACAGCCTCGGGAAGCTTTCCTGCATCCTGGAGAATGACCATTTCGCTATCGTTGTACACGAGCAAATGCAGTGTAGGTATCTGCAGCAGCACTGTACGGGCTTTGCACAAATGTTTGAGAGGGAAGAGGGAAATTCTCAAACTGAGCTTGGTAGGTATCAGCATGGCTGCTCCACACGTGCAGCCCCTGAGCCTTTGCAGGAAGGATTTCTGCCCCGTGGCTCTGCAAAGCCCTGGAACTGCCAACTTTTGCGCTTGGGAAGGTATTCATTAGGGATCTCATTTTGTCCCCTCCTCTGACAGCCAAGGTGGACTGCAGGCAGCAGCTTGGGGCTGCACTGCCTTTGCTGCACAGCTGTAGGCTCAAGCCTCTATCTAGTACTCATCGAGTTTCTTAGCCTTGAATTCAAATCACTGCCTTGCTGGTTGTGGGCAACAGAGGAAACAAGGGGCAAGTTAGGGATCTCCGTAGACTTAGTATCCCAAGGGCAAGGTCGAAAGGAGCATTTGGGCACATAAGACAAAGCTTTGGTGGAATTCAGGCATGTAAGTGCAAGGGAACAAACCACACAGTCTGCATCCCACTGCTTAAAGAATTTCTGCTGTGCGTGCCCAGAGGCTGTGCCATCTTCTCTGAACACCATTATTCCCACTTGCCGCCTCTGGAGATGCAGCCAAAAGATGTCCTTACGCCCCAAGCGGTCTGGGTAAATTGATATGCTAAGGGGCCTTAAAGGGCTGGGTGCTGTCAGACACCTACCCTGAAGGTCCAGGGTAAGTCTGAGAAAACTGAAAGCAAATGTGTTGGACCGTGAGCAAGCCCTGTGGCAGAGGCACATGAGTTCAGGAGTCAGGAGGCACAACGCACACTGATGCGTGCAGCCTGGGGCATCCGTGTATGAGCCTCACCTGGACCATGGCTGGATATAGGGATGCTCTGCCAATTCAGGAGCATCATTAGACTAGTCCAATAGAGCGGCCGTACCAGCAAGCTTTGGTTTATTCTCAAATCCCTGTACAGCCACCTCCTCCCCGCTGAAGCAATCTTGGCTCAGTAGAGTCACGTGCAGTAGGACCACATCAGCATGAAGGTTGCTGACACATTGATGGCAGCAGGGATCTCACTTTGCTGCTCCTCTGACCAAAACAGGTATGGTGGCAGGTGCTGCTCTGCAAATCCGACCTAACACACCTTTCCAGTACAATTATACCGTAAAAATTCTAGAAATACAGATTTGGCCTTATCTTGAGGGAGTTGCTTTGTTTTATATGTTAGCAACACGAAAAAGCAGTCAGAAGACCCATACTTAGGTCTTCTAAATTAGAGCTGAAAGGTGTAATTACGTTGATTTGATGGGATTACACATTGAACATGCAAAGCATTCCTGTGGTGAGTGACATGTAACGTTGTGCTGTACCGACTGCCAGCAAAGCACTGCCTGCTGAGCTCAGGGCCTCCGAAACCCCCCATGCGCAAACATCCCAGCCCCTCTGCTTGTATCTCCGTGGCCTGCCGCCCCGAAGCCTCATCAGCTCTAAAGCTGGCTTGTGAGTCCAGCCGTGCTCCCACAAAAACATTGCAAACAGAGGTCTCTCATTCAAAACTGCCTTTGATGCACGTTTCCAGTTCTCTCACCAAAAATAATGCTAGGCAGAATTTCCCTTCTCAGCTATGTTGTCATAAAATAATGAAAATCTATTTTGTATCACATTTTGATATAAATTAAATGGCGTCCACCAAAAATATCAGCCAGCGGTACGCAGTGCCTCTTGCTCTGGTTTTTAAACAACACCCATTTTCTTTTCCAGATCTGCTGGTTTAATGCCATCACAGTTACCCCCTTATTTATTACTTTCTTCCCACACCTTTGGAGCTTGCATTTTATCTCATGGTTGGACTCTGGAGGCTAGTTTTGTTTTTATTTAAGAAAACATTTCTCAGATAGTTAAAGCAATTGTTGCAATGCTGCTTTATTAATGGTGGTGCAGGACCTTATGAGAACAGAGCAGAAAGCGTCTCACTGCTGCTTTTAAAGAGTCCCATTACTACGGCCTGAAAAGTTTTGTGGTGACAGAAGCAGGTCTGGAAGAGAGGCTGGGTAAAAACAACTGGGAAATTAAGTTTCCTGCTCTGGCAAGGAGTGCATTATCTGCAGCTAAAACCTCCCTGACGTGATCCGAGTAACCCAGCCGAGGCTGTGTCAGTCGTTGCTTTTGAGGCAGAGCAGAGACAGCTGCTGTCCCCGTTAGGGTTTTCCCTTAATTAACCAATAGTAGTCTCTGCACAACTGGGGGGGGGTTCTTTTCCCTTCTTTTTTTTCCCCACTAAACTGGCATTTTCTGTGCTTGCAGTCAATGGAAATGGCAGTTCTTTCATGAAGCAGATGGTGTTTGGTGTGGTCACAGCGATGGACCTCCTCACCTTCGTCAGCAGAAACGACAAGTAGCACAGCAGCTTGGGTGCACCCACCTCCGCTCCTCTGGCAGGGCCAGCTGCACCCCCCAAGCCTGAACCACCCGGCTGAGGGTGCTTTCAGGTCTGATTAGATAGTTTCTCCAAATGACTAGGTGAAAATCGTAATGTAATAACCGTTTGTCCACTCAATGCCACCCAGAATATCACTAAAGAGAAGGTAACTAAAGAAATTGCGTTTAATAGCCATGTGTGGTTACATGGAGCTTCCCAGGGCTGGAGAGGTAATGTGAGGGGTAAGGATGGGACCGGGGTGGTTGTTATTGCCCAGATTGTAGCAGGTGAGGGTTTTGGTGTGTGTGCTAGCAGTAGGTACCTATGCACTGCCGGTGTTGCAGTCACCCTGGTCCCACTGGGGCTGGAGCCTGTCTCCACCATGAGAAGCTCCAGCCTTCTTGAGGGCTGGCAGAAAACCACATCACAGCTGCACCCTCCTGCTCCTCTCCACCCCGTGGAGGGAGGGCTGCAGGCACCCCCCAGGACACTCTCCTTCTCACCCCTGGCTCCCTTTGGGGGCCAAAGAGGCAGCTTCTCCCTCCCCTGGGTGAGAGGGCGAGGAGAGGGCCCCAGAGGAGCGATGAGGAGGGGAGTGGGTGGGACATGGCACCCAGGTACATGAAAAGTGGGGAGCTGCGCAGGCGCAGGCAGCAGGGGCAGGAAGGGAGAGCCAAGGGCTGTGATGGGCAAGGGAGACGAGGTGCTGGGCTGGCAGGGAATGATTGCTCCTGTAGCGGCAACTGGCCTTTGGAAAGCACCTTCCTGGGGGAGCTGGTGGCACCGGGGGTCTCGCACATGGTTCCGCGGGAGGGAGCAGTGAACCGAACCCGTTCAAGAAGACTCATTCTCATGATATAGTAACTGAGAGAAGGGCTACGGCTGCATGCCCATGTCCTGTAACAGTCATCTCATGAATATGCATCCTGAGAGCTCATTATCGAGGGGTAGAGAGGCAAAGGAGAGGCTGATCTTAATTTTGCTGTCAGAGTATTATGTTCCAGGAACTGATAACGAAGATCAGAAGAGCCATGTGCCATAGCTGCAAAAAACATAAACAAAAGCAAATGTGAAAGGAGGGCTGTGGGACCAAACTGAAGCACTGTTGAAACCCAGCTTGGGGGACTTGCTCCCAAAACACGTAAGAGCTCTGCAGTCTTTCCATATGTCTCGGGAGCTGCTCCAAGGGGACAACAACCAATTCCGATTTTGGCTAGCCCGTACTTTCAATCTAATTTCGTTTATATGAGACTTTTATTAAATTATAGAATGCTGAAGTATTTATATTTAGGAAAAGAGTCTCCGCTGTCTTTTGTTCCCTGAGTGACACAAGCTATATCAGATCTTCTGTGAGTTTTTGCTTGAAGAATAACCATATTTGTCCAGAAAAAGTAAAAACAGATTAGATCAACCTCATTGTATTGTATTTATTTTAGCAACTCGATTGCAAACTGAAGGATATTAGTCCATGCATGTATTCCAAACTCAGATGAGTAAGTCTTAAAATGCCCCATAACTCCACGAAGCACAGAACCCAGGCTGAACCCAGTCCACTTTGAAGCCGGGGACATGCCAGACCCTTCCTGATGACCCTAACTGTAATATGTTCTCCTGTGCAGCAGGCCTGGCTGCAAGAGAAGGAGGAGAGATCTGCCTCCACGTAACAGCCCAGGGGCACGTCTCACTTTGCAGGGAGGTCCCCTTCACTGGGGGTTGGGACCCTCCCCTCCAACCCCCAGATCCTCCACCTCCTATGCGAGTACCCCAATGGGACAGCTCTTGTCCCAAAGGCAGCTCCTCGGTTTTAAGGTCAGGTGTGAGACAGACTCCTTGGGCTGCCCCAAAGACATGGGCACCTTCGAGGGCGTGACCTGCCTGTACCTGGAGACCGCTGCCACCCAGACTCTCTAAGTGCACATGGAAATGAGTCCCTGCATGCTGGGCAGGTCTCTCCCAGGGGTTAGGGAAGCTTTGAGGTGCTGGGGTCACACCCGAGAGCTTTGCAGCAG